TGCGCCGCATCCCGCGCAGCTAAACTCGGCTTGTCGACGTGCTCTGCCCTGGTTTACTACATCCTGTGCATCAGCTCTCCCCCCTGTCGGGTTAGGCCTGCGGGGAGGATTATGGTTCCGACCACTGCTTTACACAGTCGGTTCCTCAACATGCCTGCTGTAACTCCGGCTCGGGCGAGGGGTAGAATGAATCTTGTCCCGACTATACGAATAAGCCTGCTGCTGAACCATTGCTGTTTGGAGGAGATCTTTGGCCCGCCGTGTCTCAACCGCTGCCGGAGAATCGCTTTCTATTGGAATAGCTGCCAATCGTGACTCGGCGGCAATCATGTTATCCAAAGGGGTAGGAAAATGACCCAGCGGTGCTGGCACATACTGACGCGGATCATGGTTCTGCCGAGGCTGGTCCATCATCCGTGGCTGATCCGGCGCTCCTGTCCCAGGTGCTTCAACCCGATTTACCGTTGCCGGGTTACTAGTTCCCGCTCCTGGCGTGCTAAAGAGGTTCCTTGCTTCATAAACCGGCGGTAGACGAGATTGGTGCCTCCTCCTCATCACGTCGTTTGAAACATTCTGATCTTGCATGAGCCGGTAAGATTCGGCTGTTGGAAATATGCCCTAGAGGCAATAATAAATTAGTTATTATTATATTTCCTTGTTCATGATAATCGTTTATTATCCATGCTATAATTGTATTGATAGGAAACTCAGATACATGTGAGGATACATAGACAACACCATGTCCCTAGTAAGCCTCTGATTGACTAGCTCGTTGATCAATAGATGGTTACGGTTTCCTGACCATGGACATTGGATGTCATTGATAACGGGATCACATCATTAGGAGAATGATGTGATGGACAAGACCCAATCCTAAGCCTAGCACAAGGATCGTGTAGTTCGTATGCTAAAGCTTTTCTAATGTCAAGTATCATTTCCTTAGACCATGAGATTGTGCAACTCCCGGATACCGTAGGAATGCTTTGGGTGTACCAAACGTCACAACGTAACTGGGTGGCTATAAAGATGCACTACAGGTATCTCCGAAAGTGTCTGTTGGGTTGGCACGAATCGAGACTGGGATTTGTCACTCCGTGTAAACGGAGAGGTATCTCTGGGCCCACTCGGTAGGACATCATCATAATGTGCACAATGTGACCAAGGGGTTGATCACGGGATGATGTGTTACGGAACGAGTAAAGAGACTTGCCGGTAACGAGATTGAACTAGGTATCGGCATACCGACGATCGAATCTCGGGCAAGTACAATACCGTTAGACAAAGGGAATTATATACGGGATCGATTGAGTCCTTGACATCGTGGTTCATCCGATGAGATCATCGTGGAACATGTGGGAGCCAACATGGGTATCCAGATCCCGCTGTTGGTTATTGACCGGAGAACGTCTCGGTCATGTCTGCATGATTCCCGAACCCGTAGGGTCTACACACTTAAGGTTCGATGATGCTAGGGTTATAAAGGAAGTTTGTATGTGGTTACCGAATGTTGTTCGGAGTCCCGGATGAGATCCCGGATGTCACGAGGAGTTCCGAAATGGTCCGGAGGTAAAGATATATATATGGGAAGTCCTGTTTTGGTCACCGGAAAAGTTTCGGGTTTTTCCGGTAACGTACCGGGACCACCGAGAGGGTCCTGGGGGTCCACCAAGTGGGGCCACCAACCCCGGAGGGCAGCATGGGCCAAGTGTGGGAGGGAACCAGCCCCAGGTGGGCTGGTGCGCCCCCCACAAGGGGCCCAAGGCGCAAGGGAGAGTGGGAGGGGGCAAACCCTAGGGCAGATGGGCCCTAAGGCCCACGCCAGGCGCGCCTCCCCTCTCTCCCCCTCTGGCCGCCACCCAGATGGCATCTGGGGGCTGCCGCCACCCTTGGGGAGGGAACCCTAGAGGGGGCGCAGCCCCCTCCCCTTCCCCTATAAATACTTGAGGCCTGGGGGCTACCCAACACATGAGTTTCTCCCTCTATTGGCGCAGCCCTACCTCTCTTACTCCTCCTCTCTCGCGGTGCTTGGCGAAGCCCTGCTGGACTACCACCCTCCTCCATCACCACCACGCCGTTGTGCTGCTGCTGGATGAAGTCTTCCTCAACCTCTCCCTCTCTCCTTGCTGGATCAAGGCGTGGGAGACGTCACCGGGCTGTACGTGTGTTGAACGCGGAGGTGTCGTCCGTTCGGCACTAGGATCTCCGGTGATTTGGATCACGACGAGTACGACTTCTTCAACCCCGTTCTCTTGAACGCTTCCGCTTAGCGATCTACAAGGGTATGTAGATGCACTCTCCTTCCCCTCGTTGCTGGTTTCTCCATAGATTGATCTTGGTGATTCGTAAGAAATTTTTTGAATATCTGCTACGTTCCCCAACATCGGCATGAATTCGCTGCGCCTGAGCATCCAAAGTGGCCCGCTCCGTAGCCATCCTAGTTTCCTCAGCAGCCATGTCCTCCTTAGCCTGAGCTATCTGGTCTCGTAATTTCCTGACTTCCGCGTTATGCTGATCTGCATTATCCGGGTTAACTTCCATGGTCAACAATGTTGCCAAAGCGTCCAGTAAACCGGACAGAACTTGAGCCAATGGGCGCACAGGGCCTCCTGCCCCGGCTGCCGATCCGGAAATCATTGCCGCCGCAGCTAAGGAGTGCGGTGCGGGCTGCGTACCGGCCTTGAAGATCGCAACCCGGTTTGGTGGTTCAAGGGGATCCGGAATACTGTCGCCATCGGAACAGCCCCCAAACCGGCCATCTGGCATTTGGTACAATGACTCGGTCTCCCGGTGGATGACTCGCCATCTGAATAGACCGTCGTCTCACCGTCGGATACCGGTTCAGATTCTGCACCATGGATGAATCCTACGAACACACGCTTCATGGCGGGCTGAACCCGGGAAGGGCTTGCACGCTGAGCCATCTCGATGAGGTCGGCGCAGATGTCCGGCTCAGGGCCCGTTTCGCTGATCTTGCCGATGAAGACATGAATTCCTCCGAAGGGGACCCGGTACCCGTACTCGATTGAGCCGGCGTCGGGGCCCCAGCCTGCGTCGTCGATGTAGAGCTTGCCGCGACGACTCTTGGTCATCCGGCCCACTGCATATCCCTTGAGCCCTTCGAACTTGTCCTCTAAGAACTTGAAACCATCGTGCGATAGCCCCACGGTGGGCGCCAACTGTCGTGGAATTAATACGTCAGATGTCCTAACGTAAGGACTTAGTCGTGGAGCCATCGCAATGAGATTAGCTTAAAGGGTTAAACCGGACAAAGGACACAGGGAGTTTATACTAGTTCGGCCCTTGCGGTGAAGGTAAAAGCCTACGATCCAGTTGTGGTGGAATTGATGGGGTTCGATGACCAGGGAGCGAATCCGCTTTGCCTGGCTCTCGAGTTGTTGTGTGTTGTCCCTAAACTGTCGTCGGGTCCTCCCTTTATGTACACAGGTTGACGCCCGTCAGTCTACAGAGTCCCGAGGCCGGTTCATAAACATGTCCGGCTCGGTATCTACTCTTTATTGTCTTACATTACAAGTTACACGCCTATGGCGGTTTATATCTATGGGCCCTAACCCGCCTCTGGGCTTTGGGTTCCTTTGTCAGGTATCCTCCATAAGTCGCCATCTTCTATAACTTCATGGGCTTCAATATTGGTAGTCTTTCGGTGGATAAACCGGTCCCTCCTGGGCGGTTTATACCCACCAGTTATATCCCCAACAGGAGGGGTTGGCTTCGAAATCCACGGTCAAATACTCCGGATTTGCAATATTTTAGAAGGATTTGAGAGGGGGGAGAGGGGAAGAGAGGACGGCCGCAAGGCTCAGGGTTTGGGTGGGGTGGGGGTGTTTGGGGTGGGGGTGGGAGGGGAGAGAGAATGGGGTCAGCCTAAGTGACAAACAGACTGTGCATCGCCTAAGGAACCGGCGCTGCACATTAGAAGTGTGACGCCGATGCCCTAGACGCTGCACATTACAAGTGTGACGCCTATGCGTTGGGCGCTACACGGCTGGCTGCGGGGCCGCCCCTGACCCCGGGCTGCCACGCTGGCCGGGCATGCGACGCCTAAAACAACGACGCTGCATGGTGCAATGCAGCGCCCGCCTGTCGGGCGCCACACAAAACGGTCTGTTATGTGAAAAAATTTCAAGACCAGGTTAGATCGTGAATTGATTTCATCCTCAGGTCAAATATGTGTTTTCTGCCACAGTGATACATATAGGTTTTCTTAAATAAACTTTATCTATAGGCGCGGCCTCCTTGCACCACCAGATGCTGCCTGCGTGTGGTCGTAGGTGCATGCCATCAATATGACGAATCAAAATCAAAATTGAATCAAAACAAAAATAGTGACTCAAATAAAAAGGATATTTACTCTTCCGTTGCAACCTGCGGGCATGTTTGCTAGTGATAATTTAACAAACGGTTTGGGCCCAAAACTGTTGATTAAAAAAGACACAAACAGTCGCGTGGGCCGGCCCATCTCCGCGCGCGAGGGTACCTCTATGCTCTATCTCACCGCCGCCGCCCCCACCGCCAAATCCCTAGTCTCACGCTCCCTGCACCGCCGCCATCCCCAATGCCTCCTCGCCGTCGATCACTTCCCACCGCCGCCTCGCCGTAGACGACCCCCCTGCTGCTCTCGCCAGGGCCGCCTCCCCGTCGACCACTCCCCTACCCCGCTCTCCCCAGCGCCGACTCGCCTGCCGAAACGAGCGGCCGTTCCCCCAAGCGAACGTCTTCCCTGCCGCTCGCCCAGCGACCCCTGCTGCTCCACATTGCCACAAGATCGCAGGAATCATGCCGTTCGCTGGCGTATCCGTCGTTGCCGACGGCCGACTGGTGCAGCCATCGTCCCCGGAGTCGGCAATGTTTTACCCTGGCTCCAGCGCAGCCAGCAGAGGCAGCTGGTATCACCTGCTTGTGGTTGAAGGTTACTCCCGCATCAAAGACCTTCCCAATGGAAAGAGAATCAAGACCGGCTCTTTCAAAGCTGGAGGCTATCAATGGGCTCTGAAGTCTTACCCCAATGGATTGGTGACCTCCTGGAGGATGCTGGTTACATTTCTGTTTTTCTTTCCCTTGATCAGGATGTTGCACAACCTGTGAAGGCGCACCATCACTTTAGTTTCATTGGTGAGGTTGGCAAACAAGAACCTGCACGCGTCCGTGGAATCAAAGCATCTTCTTTCCATAAAAAAGGCTATGGTTTTGGTCTCCACCGTTTCATGAAAAGAGAGGCCCTTGAGAAGTCAGAGCATCTCAAGGACGATTGTTTCACCATCCGGTGTGACTTCATCATTGCTGAAGCTGCTGCTGCTCCCTTGATCGAGGTGCCCCCACCTAATTTAAGTGAGCATCTGAACCATCTCTTTGTTACGAAGGTGGGCGTCGACGTGACCTTCGAAGTCGGCCACGAGACATTCGCAGCGCACCGTTGTGTGCTCGCGTCCCGTTCCGCCGTCTTCATGGCAGAGCTCTTCGGACCCATGAAGGAGGGGATTGCTATAGACGATGCCATACAGATACAAGACATGGAACCGAATGTCTTCAAGGCCTTGCTCAATTTCGTCTACACCGACTTGATGCCAGAGATGGAGGTGGAGGGGCAGGCAGGGGAAGCCGTCTCTAAGGTTACATGGCTGCGACACTTGCTTGCCGCCGCGGATAGGTTTGGTCTCCAGCAGCTCAAGTCAATGTGTGAAGAGAGGCTGTCGGAGCACATAAATTTGGGCTCGGTGACGGCCATCCTTGGTCTGGCAGCGCAGCACCATTGCCGTGGACTTAAGGAGGCCTGCCTGGAGTTCCTCAAAGTCCAATCTGCTGCAATCTTGGAAGGTGTCATGGCGACCAGTGACTGGCAGCACATATCTGCAACTGACCCGTCTGTTCTGAACGAGCTCATTGCCAAGCTTGCCTCCAAAGCGTAGTTCGTTGGTTTTAATGGTGTGTTCCTACTTAGACTAAAATAGGTCGGTAGCTGAATTTATGCAAGGAAATCACTTTGGGCACTTGGTCATTGTATTTTGGAAAGTGCAAACTATCATTGTGGTTCCTGAAATTGTCTCACTGTATGGGTACCGCGAGCTGAATGGTTGCCTCCTTGGCATATATAAGAAGTTAGTGTTTGATATGAATCTCTTGTTGATCATGCAAGCCCCGGCTTGGCAAAATGCCACACTGCGTGTTTGTATCTATCTACGCTCGGAAAGCCGTCCAATTTGCAGCTTCAGTTAACGAGTTACAGAAACTTATCCAAGGTTATGGTTCTGACCTTCTTCTAACTATTTTATTTCCAGCTTGTGAACTGTACAGATTGGCGTTGCATTTGGCCAAGTGAGCTCCCATCGCCATACTACGGCATCATGGCCACCTCCTTGTGGTCGTTTGCTGGTTGCCTCTTGCTGCACGAAGTGGTTCCACTTGTCTCGGAGGAGGTAGACCAGCGCTACCACCAACACCTCAGCGGCGAGGAGAATCGTCCAAGGCCTGAAGCTCATGCCAGTCCTCGCCAGCATCCGCAGCCATTGCACCAGGTACCCCTTGCCTTGAAGCCCCTGAAGAAATTATTAAGACTACATGTTGAAGCACCATAAGAATTCATGAGATTTGTGAGACGTAAGGCTATGCCCCCACAAAACCAGAAATTTTCGACGAAATCTTACCGCCGGGCCTGCCGTGCTGGTGCAGTCTATGTCATTTCTGGTTTATGTTAACCCCTGACATTATCTGTATATTCATAACTATTTGAAACATGTATATATCCATAATCATTGTGATTGAATGAAAGTCCACACAATTCTTAAATAAAAAAAGACCAGGCAGCACGACCGCAGATGCCTAAGCTTGGATGTAGTAGAACCAGATCAGGATCAGACAACGGCCTAGTAACCCATCTGAAAGTGAGCATGCTCTAAAGAATAAGTGTAAAGCAACATAATCTGTGGTCAAGCTTGACATGCTGGAAGCGTATGATAGGGTTGAGCGACACGATTTAGAAGCAATGTTGTACAAGCTTGGCTCATTAATAGCTTTATGAGGCTGCTCATGAATTGTGTCACGCCCGTCGGGTTCTTGGAAAAAGTGAATGTCAAATCTACTAATCCCTCCGATACATAATAAGGGTCGCAGTATTGAACTAAGGTTTAACTTCAATACTGCGACACTTATTAAGGATCGGAGGGAGTACCATTTTTTTTTACTAGTTTCTGGAACCACAGATGGCTTGATGGGCATGCTCCGAAGAGTTGGCACCAACCTTTTCTTTTTTTGGCTAGTTCTAAACATCTCATGGTGAAAGATGATATCCCCAATGGATCTTGGATGAGACGTTTAGGTAATATCTCCTCTGCGGATGTGCTGGACATGTTCATTTCCCTTTTTGGAGGAAAAAAAATTCAGTCCATCACTCTTGACACCAAACCTGATTAGATATTCTGGAAGATCTCGGCCAATGGACAGTACTCAACCAAATCTTCTTGTGAAGTGCAATTCTGTCACATCAACTTCAGCTTGAGAAGGTTTGGAACATGCAAGCCGAGATGAAAATCAAATTCTTCATCTGGACTCTCCTCTAAAACAGGCTTTGGACAGCGGATAGACTGAGAAGAAGGAACTGGGAGCACCATGATGGCCGGTGCTGTTCTCCGGCTGCTGCTCAGGCGACCTGACTGCCGTTTCAACCAATGATTGGTTGTGAAAGGGTAGACGCCTGAGGAAAGGGTAGAGCCTGATGCGCAGTTTACATCACTTGAAGCATATGCCTCCAGAGAAATGGGAGGATTTTTAAGGCCGCGGTAAACTTCAGTGCTATATATGGTCCTGTCTTTGTCTAGAGAAGCTATTGGCCTCCTCATGGAGGCATGGGAGTGAGTGAGTGTTTGCACAGATTCAGATTTAATTTCTGGCTTCATTTTCTCTTGTTTCTTCGGCTGTTTTGCTTCAGTCTTGTACAATTTCTCCCCTACTGAAATGAAAATGCAGAGCTCATGCTGTTCTGGTAAAAAGAAACAGAGAGGGAGATATGACAAGGGGATCCGATGTCAGCATATTTACTTGTCATATGTGCTGAAGGCTCTACTTCCTTGTTAAACAACTTGGGAGGCGCGTATATGGACAGATGTATCTGGGTAATTGTACGCTCACCTTGGGTTAAACATCTATTATTTGCTAATGGCAATTTGAATTTTATTAATTCCAAAGTGCATGAGAAGATTCTTCGGATATAGACGTGTTTGACCAATTCCAACTTGTGTAAATGACAATTTGAACTTTATCAATTCCAACTTTGGAGCTTGGTGTTTTTAGTCCTGCCTCACAACCCTACGTAGTTGTTTGAATACTGAGAAATACTAGTAAGTGTCACGTGCTTTGCACGTCCATAGCATGCATGTCAACGATTCATGTTATGTGACGTACGTGTTATGTTTTCTTTTTGTTCCTCTTGAAGGAGAAAGGCGATCTCACCAGCGCCTCTCGTCAGGAGAGTTACTCCACCGCCGTCCTCCGGTGTCTCCCATCCACTGACAACCTCGGTCATCTTGATGAGGGGGTCGCCGGTGTGGATAGTTTTATGTTAAAGTAGCTTCTTTTTTTAAGTTATAATCATCGTCTTGGCTTCGACGACCGTGAAGGCAACGTTTAATAAAGATTCTTCAGACCCTTCTCTGAACAGGCATTGGCACTATAGTTGGGGATGGATTTGAAAACCAGTCTGTTCAAGCAAGGATGCAACATCTTCGTGGTGGACTTGTGTCCTCGGGCTCCGCCGTTGCGTGGACGTTTGCTCCAGCGACAACGTGGAGCTTTGGAGGTAGTCCGGGAGCGGATGCAGATTGTTGTTTGCATCAACGGCATCTGAAAGATGGTGGATCGTGTGCTGGGTATATGGTTCGTGGATGGGGGGTGTGGTTTCCTCCTTCGACGTGTTAGTCGTATGGGGGTGCCAGATTTCGAGTTCGATGGTGTGTCCAGGGTGTTGCCTCGATCTGATCGGTTCAACGGGAATGGTTCCATCTTTGGTGAGACACCTTTGTGGGTTCGCAAAACTGCATATTAGTGATGAAGCCGCATTGAGTTCAGGTAGGAGGTGATCTATCATTTTTTTCCTTTGTGGTTGTTGTGTTGGTGCCAGAGACAGGTGACAGGCATTCGTGTCAAGTTTAGAGGTTTCTTTGGCCTTGATGTACTACTTTGTGCAAAGGCTGGTGCTCAGTTGTTCTTTCAATTTTGTCAGGTTCATGTTTACTTAGCTTGTACTATCTATATAAATAAGACATGTATCATCATATAAAAAATTATGTAACAATTGATTAAAAATATTATGTATGCTTATATACGGATATTGCTTTTGGCTCGAGGGAGTATAACCTCATGTGCGCCAAAATTGTATTTCGCAAAGGTCAGAAACATTTTAAGAAATAGATGTATTCATTGTTACACACAAATGCTATCTGTAAATTTTTAGGGGGTAACATTGTGTATTTTGCATGTGTAAAAAAAACAAGTCAAACGACAAATATCACCTTCAAATGTTACACTTAATTTTGTTTTCTTCACCAACGAAGCACTGCTAACCCGTTTCGCAAGAAAATTGGCAAGCATGCCTTTCACACTAACATGGACATTTAAAAAATCCTTGATTTTTAAATTTTATTTAATATTAATTTAATATTTATTTTAAATTTATGGAGCATATGCTCTCTAGAGCCAAAACTCCGTGTCCGCTTATATAGACATTCTTATGTTTCACTTTTCTTTTTTAGTGTATATTGTGAAAACAATTATGTCATCTTCATAAAAAAAAGAAAAAAAAGGTATGTCATGTGTTTCAGTTATGTTTTCTTTGCATAGTACAAACGCAAACGCCCATATACACGCGCATACACCCATCCCTATGAACGCATAAACGCACACCCTACTCCTATGAGCACCTCCGAAAGACCGAGCCGGTATATCATCTTAAAAATCATGAAGTCACCGTAGGCACCTCGATCGTCGTCGACGGAAACATCTCCTCCCGCTGAATACGCATCGCCCGAAATCCTAAAGTAAATCAAGAAATATATGTGAGCACCAGGATTTGAACCCTGGTGGGCTAGTGATACATCAGTCACTCTAACCATCCAACCAGAGATTGGTTCCAATTATGTAACATTTTATATATTCGAGCTAATTGCCTCACGTTTTCTGGGGCTGTACGTTAGCCTACCGTTATTTTTTATTTTTTATTTTTTATTAAGGCGTGAGATGGGTCCGTGAGCATTCATTCACGTCAATATTGTAGCACGTCATGATTTTTGGAAGAAGCAATTCCATTATGGCCCACTTGCCCATCCGAGCAGGCCCACGAGCGCCGGTCTTCTTCTACGCATCTCTCGAAGTCTCCTGTTTCTTCTTCTGTCCTCGCTGCTTCTCGTCTCTCGTTCTGTATATTAGATTTGTAGCACATGTTCTTCACATCTTCTCTACCACATCCTCCTATCACTATGTCGATGTGACCTGGCCATCGTTCAAAGGGCTGGGCACCCAGGGGCCAGGGCGCCGTCTCCGGCCACCTCCCGGCTACCATGGATTTGGCCTTTGGCTGATGAGAAGATGGGAGATGTGCACGCTGTGGGCAAGCGGGCGGCCGACCAGCGTTAAATTTTGCTCATGCAATAGCAATGGGGAGTAAAGCTTGGCAACAAAGCAAGGTGACGCAGTCAAAGGATCCAGAGAGGTAGCGAAGCATAGGTGTCATTATGGTTGATTTATTCAGGCGAGGCTGGATGACAATGATGCCATGGAAGAAGAAATGGCGGTGGCTAGTGGGCGAGGAGGAGAGGCCGTAGAGCCAGAAGGAAGGGGAGCACGCTGGGAGAGCGAGACAGGTGAAACGCTTCTCAGCCGTTAGATGCCAAAATCGACGGCTCACATTGTAGGGATTTGC